TGTACCTTAGATGTGCTGGGTGCTGTTGTATGTGGCTTGATGGCACACAGCCTCTGAGCGGAGGGATCACGTATCTCACCTGGACCCACAGAGCTAGCAAACAGATCTGCCTGGCTCGCAAGTCCAGATGTCACCACAGCCCTACCTGCTGCTCCTCCATCACTCACCAGGTAGCTCAGATCAGACATTGCATCGCTCCAGCAGGAGAGCAGCACAAGATGCCCAGCACGCAGCAGGCCCCAATAAATCAAAACTGCTTCTCTCTGCCCTTCCATTTTGCAGTCAAGAATAAATGGATTACTGTTGCTTATCTTCTGGGTATTCAACAATACTGGTTATACTTTCATATAGAGTATATGTATAGTATATGTGTAAGACTCAAACACTGAGATGTGCATGGCTATTTTTAGCAGTCTCTTTTGGGAAACATTATATATATATATATATATATATATATATATGCATGTGTGTGTGTGTGTGTGTGTGTGTGTGTACACCAACCTTACCTATCAATAATTTTGACAGAGGCTTTTCCTGGAAGCAAAAACATTATAAAAACTATCTTGGCCAAGGAAAGGGTTGGATTCTATTCAGTGGACTTTTCTATTCCAGAGAAATTGTTGGATAGTATACTCGTCCTAGATCCCAGGGCGGCAGCACCTCAGGCTGTTGCCAGTTTCCCATGGGGTTGGTTCTGTGTTCCGGACTTGCATTCTCCCTGAATCATTCAGTGTTAAGTGTCCGAGACATATTGAAAAGGGACTAGAAGTGGGGAAATCTGGATTGTTTTACATAAGATCCGCTGCATCAAGATGTCGTGTGTTATTTTGAAAATGGGCTATGGTAGCACTTTCATTTAACATAAAAAATGTCTTGAAAATGAGTATTCTGGAAGTCACATCTCTGGACCAGCAATTACAGAGATAAAATAGCCAGGATTACTCAGTGTGAAGTTCCTACACTGGGAGACAAAAATCACCTACTGCTGGCATTTGAAGTCCTGTCACTCAGGATATGACCCAAGCTGATATTTCACAGACGTGACAACTAGAACCTGAGATGGGGAGGTTACCTGTGGTAGGGCTGGGAGAGAGCAATGTAACTAAAACCACTGGGAAATTGTTTCAGAGTGGCCTTTACATGCTCTAAAAAGCGTGAATATCTTTCTGTAGAGAAAGATAAACTTTCAGAGCCACAAATCATTTGTATCACCTGCCTGCTTGAAATTTCACAGTGGCTGCTTGGACAGCTCCACTGACGATGCTGTGCTCCACGGTATCACCAAGCCCTCCCGCCCTTCGGCCTCCTCTGTTCCTCTCTCTGGTCACCCAGCTCTCTCTGCTTGTCAAGTTCTCTCCTCCCACAGAGCCCTGGCCTCTGCACAGAGAAGTCCCCTCTCATTGCTCTGCAATCAACTCTGCCCCACCTTGGTGTCAAGCTGTACTTTCTCAGGGAAGTCTTGTTTGCTCTCCCTGAACAAGTAAAATCTCATCTTACAGAGTATTTTATATCCCTCCTTCATAGCTCATAGCTTCATAGATGCATCTTTACATTTGGTATTGGGTTATTTGGTTCTCTCTCTCTCTCTCTCCCCCAGTGTATGTGTTGTTTAGTATGTATGTGTGTGTTGTAAACTCTGAATTAATAGAAATGATACCTGGACTAAAATAGATGTTAAATAATAATTTATTAGATGAAAGATTGAAAATTCTACATAAAATTTTCTTCTGTGGACCTTTCAGAATAGCCAGGTTCTTGAGGGTTCCCAAGCCCTGCTTCCTGAAGCTTGAAGAGGGGGAGGTCCTCACTCCCGGGTGCCAGGGCTCACTGGGAGATGCTCCTGGACACGCGCTCTGGGTGCTTGGGGAGCCCAGAGCCTTCAGCAGCTGTATCTCTTTACTTCGTCTTTTCCATAAATGCACCTAACACACAACTGGGCCTTCCCAAACAGAAAGCTGTTTCTGTCGTACTCCATCTTCTGTTTCCACACCCAGGCCCCTACTTCTTGGCTATCGGGGATTATGTTTTCAAAATGATATTAACTTTCTGGGGTTTAGGTCATGGTTATACAGCTTGTTTATTGAGCAATGTAGTTATATTTTGTATACTTTCTGAAAGTTCATTAAATTCAATATAAAATTTGAAAAAAGCCTAAATAAAACCCCCATCATAATAAAAGAAAGGGAAAGAAATAGGAAAATAGAGGAAAGAAGAGAGAGAGAGAGAGAGAACAAAAAGGATAACAATAATTAGTGGTTAATAAATTTTTGGCCACAATATAGAAATATTAAAAACCAAGCAACAAAAAGAACAAGATACAATTATATGCACTTACAAAAATTTATGCCCCATATTAATTTATTAAATTAAAATAGTTAATCATAGTCAGTACATATAATTCCATTTAATAAAATGGGGAAAGTTCTAATATATGAAATCAATTGAGATATATTAATGTGTGTTTGTTCCCTGATTTTCTTTCCACCTTTACTCCCTGCTTCCTAGATTATACTTTCACCTCTAAAGATAATAAATCTTCCCCTCCTCCCTATCCCAAATCAACATAATAGGATAGAGAGACCAGAGAAAGGAAAAGAGGTTTCTATGTGTGTCAATGCCTCCGGAAGAGAGGAGATCAAGGGTGGGTAAAACACACAGAAAACCAACAAGGAAGCCCCAAAGACTCAAACTATCTACACGTGCAGGACCAGGGCCTGGGCTGGGTGGAGGAGGACAGAAAAGGAGGCTAGGGGAGAAAGAGACAAAGAAGCTGTAGTGTCTGGATGTTGGAGAGCATGGGGTGGGGTGGGGGTGGGGAGTCCAGGGAGTGTCTCCTGGACAGTCGTGCAATATGGGAGAAATCTGAGCATTTAGAAATGTGTCACGACCTATCACACGGGTTCCCTACAGCACACGACACGTCAGTACTGGGAAGAGGTTTGTGGGCTCCACTCTCTTCAGGAGTCATTTATCTTTCCACAGCTCATGTAAAAGTAGCACCCAGACAAAGATCTAGATGAGCGATGCCATCCATGGCAAACTGTGGAACTGGAAGTTGAATTTTAATTTTACCTATGCTTCTGCACTATCAACATTTTTACATAGTTCATGCTGCTTGTATGACTTTTAAATATTTTAAGAACCATCGTTTGTTCACGTCAACTGCAGCATAAGCAGTGTCCCATCTGCCTACATTGCAGGTACCACTTGTGGTGTAAGAGGAACTCATGGAGGGGCCGGCGCTGTGGCATTATGGGTAAAGCTACTGCCTGCAGTGCAGCAACCCGTATGGGGGCCAGTTCAAGTCCTGGCTGCTCTACTTCTGATCCAGCTCTCTGCTATGGCCTGGGAAAGCAGTGGAAGGTGGCCCAAGTCCTTGGGCCCCTGCACCCATGTGGGAGACCCAGAAGAGGCTCCTGACTCCTGACTTCGGATTGGCACAGCTCCAACCTTGCAGGCAATTGGGGAGCGAACCAGCGGATGGAAGACCTCTCTTTCTCTCTCTCCCTCTCTCTCCCTCTCTCTCCCTCTCTCTCCCTCTCTCTCCCTCTCTCTCCCTCTCTCCCTCTCCTTCTCTCTCTCTCTGTAACTCTGCCTTTCAAATAAATAAGTAAATCTTAAAAAAAAAAAAAAAAAGAGGAACTCATTGTCCTGGGCAAGGCTCCTCCCCACTCTGAGTGTCCAGTGACTGGGCTGCAAGTTTCAGGATTTGGGTGGGGAAGTGGAAAATGACCTTCAAGGCCACAGGTGTTCAGATGTTCAAAGCAGCAAAGTTGTCAAGATGACCTTGTGCTGGTGTCCCTGTCGGTGAATCCAAGACTGCTCAGAAACGCCACCATCCCCTGTTCTCATTGTCTCTTCATCTATGCATTCTCCAAGCATGCTGTCTCCCATGCAGCAGGACTTCGGGTTGTTTTGTGCAATGGTTATCCTCCTGTCTATTTTTATTATATGTATTGTAGAGTCTCTCATGATAAAAATCCACTTCAAACCCTCTGGAACTGTCTACACAAGGATAAGGAAGTGCCAATCACTGTGGATAAGTGGACTTGGGGCCAGGATTCTCATCCCACAAGACTCACCTTTTGCCAGAAGATTCCTCATTTACCCCCAGGGTGAACCTGCAGGATATCTACCTGCTTCAGGGGAGCTCTAGCCTCTTTCTTCTTGCCTTTACTCCATGCCCTCAAGAGGGAAAGCCAATTAAATGAGAAAACATAATCCAGAAAACTCACCCTGGGTTCAAGGCACTTGCACAGTAGCAGGGACGTCATCCATCGATGCTCCCAGAAAGACAGGATTTCACGATCCCTCCCACATCCAGGAAGACAAACTGTGGAACTGCATAAAGCCCCCATGCTGCCATGAGGACCTCAGTGTGAAAACCCTCTTCTCAGACCAACCAGAGAGCAGGAAAGAGGCAGCCCTCCACCCCGAAGTCTCTTGCCTCAGATCTTGCTAATTTATGTAGGAAAGTGTATTCACAGAATTCTAGAAGTCATGGGATTCCCAGGCTGAGAGTACACTCAATTGAGTCTGCTTGTTCACATTCATGTAGGTCTCTCTTCTGATTGAGAAACAAGAATAAGAAGAGAGAGAGAGAGGCAGGAGCGTTTTTGACAGGTAAGTATAAACACGGACCAAAGGGGGCATCACTGTGGCACAGTAGGCTAAGTTTCCACCTGCAGAGCTAACATCCCATATGGGCTCTGATTTGAGTCCCAGCTGCTCCTCTTCCAATCCAGCTCTCTGCTTATGGCCTGGAAAAGCAGTAGAAGGTGGCCCAAGTGCTTGGGCCCCTGTGCCCGCATGGGAGACCTGGAGGAAGCACCTGGCTCCTGGCTCCTGGCTCTGAATCAGCTCTGCTCTGACCATTTTGGCCTTTTAGGGGAGTGAACCAGCAGATAGAAGACCTTTCTCTCTGTTTCTGTCTCTCTCCATCTGTAACTCTGTCAAATAAATAAAATCTTTTTTAAAAAATGCACCAAAGAAATAGGAAGTCACTGTGAATTGCATTCAGAGCTTTATTCTTGCCAAAGTTTGAAGATTGTGCAATCTCTGGCAGGCTGCCTTGGTGAAGAAGCAAAGTACGGAGAGAAGTGGTGAGGTCCTATGTTGCTAGGAATGACAGGAAAGGGGCCAGAGGCAGGTGAGTGTTCCAAAAGGCAGAGCAGGGTAGCAAATCCTGGAGCAGGGCTCTCCTTCTGTGTTTAACAGCAGCAGTCATCTCCATGGTCACAGCATGCAGGACCTCGGGACCTCATGGGGATAATACCCAAACAGCAACACCCAGAGCCACAGCCCCCAGAGCTGCAGCACCCAGAGCCACAGCCCCCAGAGCTGCAGCACCCAGAGCTGCAGCACCCGGAATCCTCGCAGCAGCCAGATGATCCTGTGTTGCAGCTCTGAGGTCTCTGGACCCAGCGTCTCAGGGGACTCACCCCGAAGGTCCGAGGAGCCAGACAGCAGTAGCTGGTAGAACAGGGTGCAGAGCATGGGTCAGGGGCACAGCCCTGGGAGGCTGAGCCACCTGCAGGAGCTTGAACGTAGTAGCTCTGGCGAGTAGTAGGGTACTGGACATAATATGTCTGAGTCTGGCAGGGAACTGGGCACTTCACGTATGTCTGACAAGGAGGTGGGCACTTCACATAGGTCGTCTGACATGGGGCCGGGCATTTCACGCAGGTCGTCTGGCATGGAGCTGGGCACTTCACATAGGTCTGGCAGGGAGCTGGGCATTTCACATAAGTTTTAGGCTGGCAAGGAGCCAGACACTGCACATAGGTTTGAGTCTGGCATGGAACTTGGCACTTCACGTATGTTTGAGCTGGGACTGGAGCCGGACATTTCACAAAGGTTTGAGCTGGACCCAGAGTGAGTCCCGCAGCAGAGCCTGCAGCAGGACCTGGGCCAGAGCCCCCAGCAGGGCCCGTCACATAGACGGTTTGGGTCTGGCAGGGAGGTGAGCATTTCACAGAAGCGCCGTTGGTCCCTTGCAAAACTCCCGATCCTGACCCTTTCACACATGATGGAGGGAACTGTGGCTGCTTCTGCTGGTCACACATCTTGCTGTGGCTTTGAAAGTTCTGCAAAACAAAACCGATTCATCAGAACAGTGGGACTGGGAAGGTTTCCGGGATACCTGCAGCATCCCTTGTGGATAGAAGCATCTATAAGTACTGATATGTTTGAGACACAGACAGGCAGAGGCTGCATGCTTGGAAGAGGGATGGACTCAGGGTCAGGAAACTCAGGCCTTCGCCTGACCATGTGATGCCAGCCAAGCCACTGCTCAGCTCTCTCATCAGTGCCCACAAAGGGAAATGAAGGGATTGAAAGAACGTTGCAATCCTACCCAACTCTCCACACTTCCTCTCTGTTCTTTTCAGTGTCTGCATTATGAATTATCCTTAGGAGATTTCAGTTCCCCAGCTGATTTCCCGTCTGCCACCAGTCCCATCTCCTGCCTCGCCAGGGAGTACCCAATTTGTCAATAGACCCGTACCCAATAGAAGTCTCAAGCTGAACCTTACAAGGAGCAAAGAACAAGACCAAGTTTGATAAGTTTCACCATTTGCTCTTTGGATCAGCTCAACCATCACTGCACCTAATCAGCACATGAACCCAAGAGAAGATGGCACAAGTGCACCTGGACAAAGGGTGGGGAAGCTCCTTCTCTGAAATTCCCTCCTACACTCGTCTACCAGTTCAGCTCCCACCTCCTCCTCTCCTCTTCTGCCCTGGACTCCACACCTCCCACCAGCTGCTGCTAGCAGCCTCCTTCATGGCTATCCCCAATGCCTGTTCCTGGCTCACTCTTCAAGCCAGGGTTCTCCACCCCAACTTCACTCTGGCTCTGCTTCTTGCCTTGTCCTTATCTCAAGTATAACAACTTACCCTCTTCGCTGGCAGGAGCAAGACTGGAAGAAGCCAAAGATCTGAGGAACTGGCAGGTGGCAAGACTTTTATAGAGCAGCAGTGAGGCAATTTAATGGCATCTAAATGAAGCACCGGAGATCACGAGGACGAGGGCTGGCGTTGCATAGGTGAGATTCCACCCCAGTATTCCTGCCTCTTCAGTAAGAGGCAGAGCATGTCTCTGCTTGACAATGAGTTTTCCCAATGTGCGATAAATGATTCCTGTTGCCTTCTTCATGAAATAACCCCACCTTCTTTGTCCAGAAGCTGTGTGATTCCTATGTGATCTGTCCTAGAAGAACTTCTATGTCATCTGGGGCTTGACGAGTTTATCCAAGATCTGGTTAGATTCTCATTTTTTCATATACATTACCAAAAGCTACACTATGTCTTCTCCATCTACACTAAGTATTCTTTCTGAGGATCCACTGGTGTTTATGCTGATGTGGGTTGGCCCAGTGGTCCCTGTTTCAACACTGCAGCAAGCCCCTCAAGAAGTAGGTTGTCCCGTGGACCATCAGTTGTTAGAAGCTCATCTGGGAAACTGAGTGGGTGTTTTATGAGCCCAGACCCCAGGCACTGTGTCTAGACTGCCTCTTCTCAGCCCTCTCATGACACCCCCCCCCGACCTTATTACAGGCTTAGAGTCCAGAATACCCAAATGAACACTGTATGCAGCAAGAATTCTAGAATCTAACACTGCATGAGAGATTTTACATATCAAACAATTCATAAGCACGAATTATAAATGGATGCAATGGAAGGATTAAAGACGTTACCCATCATTCCAAAGCAAGTAAGTTGAAAAACCAGAACTCTAGTGCAGGCAGGCTGTTTTTATAGGCCATGATCTTAATCACTACAATATGTGATAATTGTATTTCTGGAGATGGCTTTATCCTAGAATTTATTTCCTCTCATTCCCTGCAGTAGATGTAGAAGGAGAGATGGAAGCAATGGCTATTGAGCGCTTACTGTATGCTGGATACTGTCCTAGGCTTTACCTGTGCTGTTCCACCTGGTCTTCTCAGTAAGCCTGTGAGTTGGGCCATGTTAGCCCTGTTTCTACAGAAGAGGAGACTGACACTCAGACGTCTCACCCACCAGCATCTTCAGATTAGGAGATAACAGAGTAGCATTGGAATTCAAACTGGTCCCATTCCAGAACCCATGCTCTTCTCACTCACCCATGCTGGGTTTCTCACTGTAGAAGGGTGTCTTGAGCCTGAGCCAACTACTGGCTCCAAATGTCACTCCCTCCTATCAGCCAGTCTAGGCCCCACTGTATTTGTCCATAATAAATTTTCACATTCCCAGGACCTGTCAGCCCAAGGACTCGCAAGCTTCCTAAACAAAGGAAATGCGTAGTCCCACTAGTTTCCATGCCTCCCTCTCCATGGGTCGGGTCATTCAAGACCTGCCCCTGAACAATTTGAAGGGAAGAAGAAGATGGGGTTCAGCCTTGGGTGTGGAAAGGGTCCTGCTTCTTCCCGCCACTCCTGCCTCTTACTGGTTGTCACAGTCCACAGCTTCCTCCTAGAAGTCCGCAGGAGATGGGGTCAGTGAGGAGGGAAGCCATTCTATTCCTGGTCTCCTAAGTGTCCCACCCCAGTTGTAACCCATGCCTGATGCTTTGTGGAGGAAGCAGAAAGTAGCAACCTCTGGTTGTGTCAGATGCTTTACATGAGCTAGTTCTCAAATGTAATCTTCACAATAGTGTCTCAAATAAGCAAACGAATCAATCGATAACTTACCCATGCTCATACAGATAGAAGGAGTCAGACTTTGAACCAACTTCAAATTTTATTGTTTTCCTACCACCACATGATGTTCTAGTATTAAAACCCATGATGTTTTAGGAACTGTACCTTTCACAGGCCAGAAGACAGTCATTAAGAGGATGTCTACACTGTATGTAGGATGGGACAGGCCAACTTTACAGGGAAGAAATGCCTTCCAAGGTCAGCCAGCAAAATAAGACAGATATTTTAGGCACAAGTAGGATAACTTGAGCTCTTGTCCTGAGTCTGCCCCTGCCTGTCCCCTGCTGTCTCTGGGCTTCTAGGCATTTTCTCTCCCTGCAAAGTAAAGAAGTCAGAAGAGGCCTCTTCTGGCTGTGATATTTTATGCTTGGGGGGGTAGAGCTCTCCAAATAATCTGTGTACTTCCTTGGCCTCACTGCCCATGGAGTTACTCCCACTAGACTGTAACTTTCCAAAATAGGTAACTCTGGACTCTGTATGTCATCACAGGACCTGGAAGTGCTGATAAAACGAGTGAATGAGCAGGGTGCTTCACACTAGTGGTACAGCCCAGACCAATCTCCCACCACCATGTGTTAAGTCTTTGCATCTTGTTCCACCTGTGAGCTCTGATTGGCTCATGGCCTGCTCAATGAGCTCAGGCCTCACTAATGGGTTTAACATCTGCAGGCAGCACCAGCAATGCTGGTGAAAGATGGTGCATCCATGTGCTGCCAAAAAAGGTGGGTGGGTTGGGCCCCACCCATTTTATAGGCTGAGAAGGCAAGGCATGGAGAAATAAGGTGACTGGTTCCAGTTCCAGGATGAGTCATGGGGTTATTCCTAAAAATCTCCAGAACCTCCCTTCCACTTATCTCTTTGGACACAGGCTCATGGACACTGGTGGATTCATGAAATAATAGCCCAGTAGACTCATAGGGTAATAGGCAGAGAGAATCATCTCCTATGCAGGGTTCAAGACAGGCACACAATGTCCCTACCAGGATGCAGGTGATTAGCTGTGTCATCCACACTCATGGGCTGCTCTCCTTGGATCTCTGCGTCATCCGAAACCCTCCACTTGGCTTATTTTAGGATTCACCACATAGATAGTCAGAAACAGAACACCAGATTATGTCTCAGGTCGCAGGGAACATCCACATCCATGAATCCTGGCTCTCCTGAGGTTAAATCCTGCGACTCGGGTGAGAAACAGGATACTTCTTTCCATTCAGCTGGATGCATTCCAGAAAGGCTGTGACCAGTCATACCAGCTCTGGCCATGGTAGGTACATTGTCTCCATCCTAGTACATTGTCCTGGAGACTGGGAGAAGAGAATTGCAAATGTGACCTGAAAGCTGTCACACTAGAGCCCTCTGTCAGGGGGAAGCTATCTGGCAAGTTCTAGGGTCACAGATGGGAGCCTGGGTATTGCTGCTCTGCCATTGCTTCTTTGGGATATCTGGGTAATCCCGTTCTTCTTTTACTACCTCAGCCATTCCATGGCTTTTGCGACAAAACCTCTGCATTAACCCTCTCCTTGCTACACATAGCCACATATTTTTCATGTCTGGAAACCAGCAACCTGCAGCATGGGAAGAAAGCAAAAGGCACTGAACATGGGAAACAAAATAAAACATGGTCGCAAGTGGTGGTAAGTGTGAAAATAATAACAGCAGCAATAAAACCAAAGTTTATTTCAACAGGGCTTTCTGGAAAGGCCCAAGAGAGCCAGCTGATGTCCAGCTCAGTTCTGCACTTTCCACTGGTTCATGCATTTGAGCTTTCTGCACAACCATGAAGCTTAAACCTTGCCTGATTTGGGCCGGCACTGTGGTGCAGTGGGTTAATGCCCAGGCCTGAAGTGCCGGCATCCCATATGGGTGCCGGTTCTAGTCCTGGTTGCTCCTCTTCCAACCCAGCTCTCTGCTATGGCCTAAGAAAGCAGTAGAAGAGGGCCCAAGTCTTTGGGCCCCTGTGCCCTCGTGGGAGACCTGGAAGAAGCTCTTGGCTCCTGGCTTTGGATTGGCGCGGTCAACTGGGGAGTGAACCAGTGGATGGAACACCTCTCTCTCTCTCTTTATCTCTCTCCCTCTCTGCCTCTCCTCTCTCTGTGTAACTCTTTCAAAAATAAATAAATAATTCTTTTTTAAAAAAAAAATACCTGATCTATCATACCCAGTGCTTCTGACAAGAGGGGACCCTAAGTCAGAAAAGCCTTGTAAGCAAGGGCTCCTTGTCTTCAGGACAGAAAGGGAAAGGAAAGATAGCATGTCATTGGAATCCAGCCCTCACTATGGATCACTGTAAACAGGTTCCTTTAAAAATAAGTTCAATCCAGTGGCTGGCGCTGTGCTACAGTGTGTCAAAGCCTTGGCCTGAAGCGCTGGCATCCCATATGGGCTCTGGTTCTAGTCCCAGCTGTTCCTCTTCTGATCCAGGTCACTGCTGTGGCCTGGGAAAGCAGTGGGGGATGGCCCAAGTCCTTGGGAGACCTGGAAGAAGCTCCTGGCTCCTGGCTTCAGATCAGTGCAGCTCTGGCCGTGTGGCCATCTGGGGAGTGAGCCAGCAGATGGAGGACCTCTCTGTCTCTACCTCTCCCTGTAACTCTGTCTTTCAAATAAATAAAATAAATCTTTAAAAAAAAATAAGTTCAATCCTATCTTACTTAACTTGTGTGTGCACAACCCAACTAAATGCAGCCACAAAGAAAGTTTTCCCATTTTAACACATAATGGGAAAGGAAGAAGAGAGAGTGAGGGGCCAGCGCTGCGGTGAAAGCTGACGCCTTCAGTGCCAGCATCTCATATGAGCATCGGTTCAAGTCCCAGCTGCTCCACTTCCAATCCAGCTCTCTGATGTGGCCTGGGAAGGCAGTGGAGGATGGCCCAAGTCTTTGGGGAGTGAACCAATGGAAGGAAGACCCTTCTCTCTGTCTCTCTCTCTCTCTAACTCTGCCTGCCAAAAAAAAAAAAAAAAGAGAGAGAGAGAGAGACAGAGAGAGAGGAGGAAGAGGAGGAAGAGGCAAAGCAGGGGAAGGAAGAAGATTAAGCACTTCCTTGTGAATGTGTGCCTGAAGCAGTAAGTACATTCATTTTGTTTAAGTAAATAGCATTTTCTGTCTGAATGATCTGAATGAATGGCTATTTCATCTTAGAATCCTAGTTAACCCTTATTTATTTGGTTTCACAAATCCAGCACAACTTTAATTTTCTTGAAGGTATAAACACATTAAGAATTAATTTATTGAAGTTCAATATGTTGATATTTCTCCAGTCCACTGAAAGCTATAAATTCATCTTCATATTCAGGGAGAATAATTGGGATTTATGTAAAAGGGAAGAAAAGTTTAATTTTAAAAAAACCTGCCAAATTGAGATTTGAAACAAAATTTACTGTTGCAAAGTACATGTTCCACAGTATTTTTCCCCAGTGAGGACTACAGATAACGCTGGACTGAAAATGTAGGTCCAAGGCACAGGGTGAGTGGCTGTTTAAGGAAGCAAATCTCACGCGTTTCTTGGAGGGGGGCGTGGCAACGGAGAAAAGAGAAGGGTTGGGACCTCGCAGTGGGCCCACGGTCCTCTCACTCCTCCAGGGGGTTTCTCAGTGCTTCCCACGGCTGCAGTGGGAGCCCCGGGACTACTGGCCGCTTCCTCGGCCGCTGCCGCTGCCACTTCCGCTTCCGCTGCCGCTGCCGCTTCCGCTGCCGCTGCCACTGCCACTTCCACTGCCGCTGCCGCTTCCGCTTCCGCTTCCGCTTCCGCTTCCGCTGCCACTTCCGCTTCCGCTTCCGCTGCCGCTGCCACTGCCACTTCCGCTGCCGCTGCCATTGCCATTGGTGCTGCTGCAGCAACAGCAGCGGGAGCTCTGGTGCTGGCCTTGAAGAGACTGACAGGCTCTGTGGTGACCCAGGGAGCAGCCACCATCCCCAGAGCTGGAGTCACAGGAGGAGGAAACTAGAGGAGGGCTTGGGGCTGGGGACTTGAGTGCAGCACATTTGGGAGGGGACTGGGACTGCTGCAGCGTCTTCTCACAGGACATCTTGGTGGTATTTAGGTCAACCTGAACGACAAAACAAATTTATACAGAAACTCAATATACAGAGCCATTAATTCTGTTCCTATTTTTTAAATCCCTCGCTAAAGTGAAGAGAACTAGCTAAAAACACACACAGCTACAGAAACCTCTTTGATGTAAAGAATATGTCTTCATTACACTTCTAGGGGTTTCCACTGTTCTTGGTTATTTATCAGGTGAGTAAAAATGGCTGCTAAAATAGTAAATAGAGCAACACTGGAAATACCAGAATGGATGTTTTGTATCATTTCATTTCAGACATGTTAAGTTTATTCCACTCTACACACATGAATCTATCTAGAACTGGAGTCCATAGCTTGGTAGAGGGGCAGGCGCTGTGGCACAGCAGGTTAAACTGCCACTGGGAATGGCCACATCCCTGTATCAGAGTGCTGACTCAAGTCCTGGTTACTCTGCTTCTGGTCCAGCTCCCCACTAATGCCCCTAGGAACCAGCAGTTGGTGGTTCAAGTACTTTAGTCCCTGCCACCCTCATGGGACATCCAGATGAGTCCCTGGTTCTTGGCTTCAGCTGACCCAGCCCCAACTATTGCAGTCATTGGGAAGTGAACCAATAGGTAGATGAGTCCTCCCCCCTCCCTTTCAAATAGATATTTTTTAAAAAAAGAAAGTAGTCATGGCCGGTGTTGTGGCATAGCCAGTAAAGCTGCTGCTTGCAATGCCAGCATCCCATATGGGCATTGGTTCAAGTCCTAGCTGCTCCACTCCCAATCCAGCTCCCTGATAATATACCTGAAAGGGCAGTGGAAGATGACCCAAGTGCTTGGGCCCCTGAACCCACATGGAAGACCAGAAGAAACTCCTGGGTTTGGACACCCCAGCTCCTGCAGTTGTGGCTATTTGGGGAGTGAAGCAGCAGATGGAAGACCTTTCTCTCTGTGTCTCCCTCCCTCTTTCTAAACTCTGCCTTTCAAATAAATAAGTAAATCTTAAAAAAAAAAAAAAAGAGTAGTGGAAATACATGCACACATGCACATGCTTACATAAATATTTTATACATATTTATATGTATATATTGAGGTGGAGAGAGGGAGAGAGAAAGAGAAGAGAGAGAGGGAGGGAGAGAGAGGTCTGCACCCATGGTCAGAGAAAAGCTTCCTTGAAGGGATGGGCTGAGCACCAGCAGGCCACTCACTGGCAGGGCTACAGCAGTCCCAGATCACTTACCACCTCCCTATCTGACCACAAGGACAACCCTTCCCAGGTCTGCCCCTGCTTTGTCCGGAGCAAACCATTACTGCTGGCCTCTCTCCTTGTCCACACTGCAACCTTCATACTTCTCTCTGTTTCTCCCAAAGTCACTCTTCAGCCCATCCCCATTCCCCGCTGGGTTCCCATAAAAGCACTCACCCTAGTCTCAGCCACAGCCACAGCCACAGATGGTCCCTGAGGAGTGCAGCAGATGAGGAGTCAGCAGTAGGAGTATGTTTTTATATTACAGGGCATCCTGGGCTGGGCTTCGGATGAGTCGTGCTTCTGGAAGCGCTTGTGGGGTTGTTCCTGATGTGCCCTTGTCTCTGATTTCGTCTCCTCCTAAGCTGGGCCCTGAAATTCCCAGGCAGCCCCTCTGGGACTGGGTGCAACAGGGTGGTTTCTATGGGATTCTTAATGTAATTCATCCATTTCCCGGGTAAAGGTCTCAAGGCATAGCCTTGGAACTTTGGCTCCAAGTGTTATCCACCCAAGTTGGAGGTTTGCTTCTCAGGGAGTAGAAATAAGTAGATGTCATATGAAGTAATTCATTTGCAGCAAATAAAGAGACCACAGAGAATAATTCCCAAAGCCGCGGCTCCCCGAGCAAATGGAAGTGGGTGTGTTTTATCTTAGGACATGTGAATATGCAAAAGAGCAAGTACATGTCTTCACATGAAGGGGTGGGCAGAGGCTCACGCAGGGACAATTCAAAGACAGGCTAACACTTCAATCACATGTTTATGGCAATGAGGCTTAAGCTCCCCATGTTGCAGAGATCTTAGCACTAAAATGAGGAAAATGTTAACTCTCAGTCATGTGCACATCCTGTTATCGCGGCTGTGGTCATGACTGGTTCCAGCTAAATTCTTGAGTCAGTTGATGTGCCTGTTTCCTGTGTTTGGAACTGAAAAAATAGCTTGGAGGAAATGTTACTCTTTTGCCTGCTTGCCCAAAGACAGAACTTTTGCAAACTCTCATTTTGTGAGTTAGAAAATCTCCCTCTGATTTTACCCTGTTCTTCACTCTTTTGTTTAAAATTTATTTATTTGTTTATTTGAAAGGCGACTGTCAGAGAGAGGGAGAAAGAGAAAGAGAGATCGAGAGGGAGAGAAAGAAAGAGATCTTCCATCTGCTGATTCATCCCCCACATGACTACAACAGCCATATCTGGGCCAGGCCAAAGCCATGAGCCAGGATTCCACCCAAGTCTTGCACATTGGTGGCAAGAGTCCAAGTATCTTCTGTTGCCTCCCCAAGTGCATTATCAAGGAGCCAGATCAGAAGCAGTCAGAGCTTGAGCCGATGCTCTGATGTGGGATGTTGGTATCACAGGTATTAGCCTAACCTACTGCACAACAATGCCAGCTGGTGCTGTGGCATAGCTGGTAAAGCCTCCACCTGCAGTGCCAGCATCTTATCTGGGCACCAGTTCAAGCTCCAGCTGCTCCACTTCCAATCCAGCTCCCTGCTAATGCATCTGGGAAAGAAGCGGAGGATGACCCAAGTCCTTGGGCACCCGTGCCCACATGGGAGACCCAGATGAAACTCCTGGCTCCTGGCTTTGGCCTGGCTCTGCCCCAGCTGTTGTGGCCATTTGGAAGGTGAACCAGAGGATGGAAGACTTTCTCTCTCTCTCTCTCTCTCTCGCTCTCTCTCTCTGCCTCTCTGAAACTCTGCCTTTCAAATAAATAAATAATCTTAAAGGGGGGGGGGGGCATGCGACAAAGGTCCATCTTCCGTAACTGCCTCTTGCTGGTATTGGACATCATCATGGTGCCAATGCAGCAGCAGAACTGTTCACCTGCAAACCTAAGATAGCTTTGAGGGTGCCCAAGAAGTAAACCCTAATTTAACACATCCCCATGTAACAGTAATCTGTAATTTATATAGCTTTAATTTGGTCATAAACTGCACAAGTGATTAAGTGTATGGGGTATGAAGGGCAAAAGGAAAAGAATGGCCATGAATGACCCTAGGAAGGACTTTTTATTCCATTTCATATTTGCTCTGTAAGGTCAGGCTGACATTTTTGTTAGCCAGGCGGCTTCTTCTGGCAGTTGAGTTGTACTGTCTTTGATAGGGTCACTTGTACTGACATAGAAACAGTGGGATGTGTCAAAGGATAATCTAAGACAATTCTTCGGTTAAGTGGGTTGTTAATTAAATGGAGATCTGTGGTTCTGGATTCGACAGGGAGTTTGAATCGTTAAGCAATGACCTCCCATAAGTTATTTCAGAGGAACTAAGCTTCTGTTTGTATTGGAGCTGCCTTTATCCAAGTCAGAGCTATTGGCAGTAATTTTAGTTAATGTTCCTGTGTCTCCTAGCAGTTAGCCAAAGTTTAGAAAGGTAAAGGGGATTCATGGAAACAGCAGCATTTCTGTCACTGCAAGTGCTGAATTATTTCTTTTTATGGCCTCTGATTCCTTCTTTGATGCTTTGATGACCACAACTACTTTCTTTTTGGGGAGAGGGAAGCAGGTACTGCTTCTAATAGTTGAGAATTTCTAGCCCATGTTTAATTTTTTACTACTATTTTAGGAATTCCTCTTTCTTTTTAAATGGTTCCATATGTGTGACCCACATAGAAAGCATACTTAGAATCTGAGTGCATTGTTAACTATGTTGGGCTTCTCAATCCCAAATTTCTAGTTAATGCAGTCATTTCTGCCTTATGAGCTGAGGCCTGATGCTAGTCCCTTGGCCTTTGTGCTTGCATGCAAGGATACTAGGATACAAGGATGCAAGGATTTCTCTGCCCATTATTCAGGAACCTTCTCCCATCCACAAACCATATTTCCTCAGCATTAGGTAGGAGGAGTTCACTCTGGATATTTTCTAGCTAGAGTGGATTTTGTCAGTCACCTCTGAGCAGGCCTGAGTAATAGGCCCATCGGGATTAGGGAGCAGGGTAGCTGAGTTCAGGATATAACAGTGTATTTAGGAGTTCTGAGGAGCATCTGGCAGCATAGCTTGATATTGTAGTGCTCTATGTGGACACAGCTAAACATGTTCTTTACTCTCTAGTGACTGGAGACCTGATGAGGAGTCCATATCATCGAAGGTTGGCCTGTAGTCATGTTTCCTGCTTCTTTAATTAAGAAGCAAGTGGCAGCTGTAGACCCTAACCACGGGGGCTGTCTTTTTGCTGTGGTGTCTAATTGCTTTGAAAGTATTTGATACTCTTTTTAAAGACCCCAACATCTGACCTAAAACCCCCATAGTTATTCCCTGCCTCTCATGGACATCTGCATCAAATGGCTTATTTATATTGGGTAAAGCTGAGGCAGGCATTGTGACACAGAGGGTTAAGCTACTGCTGGGGATACTTGCAAATAATGTAAGAGTACAAGAGATCAAGTCCCGTGTCCACTTCTGATCCAGCTTCCTAATAATGCATTGGAAGGCAGCAGGTAGTGATGCAAGTACTTGGATCCCTGCTAGCCACGTGGGAGACTCAAATAGAGTTCCTGGCTCCTGGCTCACCCGGCCCAGCCCTGGCTGTTGTGAGCATTTGGAGGGTGAACCAGCAGATGGAAGATATCCTCTCTCTCTCTCTCTCTCTCTGTCTCTCTCTCTCTCTCTCTCTCTCACACACACACACACACACACACATCCTGTCTTTAAAATATAATATAATAAACTTTTTTAAAAAATTGAGTCGATCCTGTGCAGGTGTATTCATAAGCAGAATTTTGAGCATATTGAAAATGTTGCCATATAACTTATGCTATTCAAACAGATCTGTTTCTGGCCCCTGTAGTTTATTATGGAGAGTTTTGCCATCAATCTAAAGTTCAGGATCCAAATGCAGTCAGACAATGCAAACGTCAACATCCCCACGAATCCTTATAGCTGCTTATGAGTTTTTGGCAGAGCAAGTTGGAATATTACTTTGTTTTCTTTTGTTTTTTTTTTTTTAAAGAAGGTTGTATTGTCCTTTGTAAATATTGACTTTCAAGTATTTCAAAAATTTTCTTAGGTATTTGGGCTTCTCTTTAGACAATTTTTATCCCTTTCTGGCTAGAAAGTTCAGCATAGCTACAGTGTCCTTATTCAAGAGTTCCTTAGTAGGACTGATACTCAGAATGCCATCTACATACTGTAACACAGAGCTCTGTTTTAATCTTAACTCCCCTAAACCCTGACCCAGAACTTCCCGGAAGATAGCAGGGAAGTTTGTAAACCCTTTGGGTAAAACATTCTAGTGCTGCTTTTGCTCTAGAGGGAGTCTGAGTCCTCTCAGTTAAAAGCAAATGTCTCATTAGATTTAGCACCTATGGTATCTGGGGAGGAAAAGCATCTTTTAGATCTAATACTGTATGTAATGTATTTTCCCCAAGGAAATCAGCCTGTAGGGTGTAAGGTTCAAGTACCATGGGATGTATGACTTGGCCTCTGTGTTGATAGCCCTAAGGTCTTGAGCAAATCTGTATTTTCTTACTCCTAGCTTTTTAATGGACAAAATTACAGTGTTAACATGGGGATCTGCATTGCCTGATCCATACTCTAAGAGCCTACTGATAACAGGAAAGATTCCTCTTAGAGCTCCTGGCTTTAAGGGATTCTGCTTTTTCCAGAATAATCTGTTTTAATTCTAGGCCACCTGTTCCACATGTCCTTGTGCCTACATTTCCGAGTTAACTTGGCTCAGAACATTTAGAGAATTTTTTTCCTTTTACATTATACATATATATGTATATGTATAATGAAATGTAATCCAGATATAAAAAAGAATGAAATCTTATCACTTGCAGAAAAATATTTGGAACTGGAAGACATAATGTTGAGTGAAATAAGCTAAACACAAAAAGATAAATACTGCAGGTTCTCCCTTATATGTGGGATCTAAATTTTTTTTTTAGAAAAAGAAATAAGGGGCTGGTGCTGTGGCATAGTAGGTTAAGCCTCTACCTGTAGCGCTGGCATTCCATATGGGTACCAGTTCATATCCTGGCTGTTCCTCTTCTAAACCAGCTGTCTGCTTATGGTCTGGGAAAGCAGTGGAAAACAGCCTAAGTGTTTGGGCCCCTGCACCCATGTGGGAGACCTGGAAGAAGTTCCTAGCTCCTGGCTTTGGATTTGCCCAGCTCTGGCAGTTGTGACCATTTGGGGGGTGAACCAGTAGGTGGAAGACCTTTCTCTCTCTGCCTCTCCCTCTCTCTGTCTATAACTCTGTATCTCAAATAAATAAATAAAATCTTAAAAAAAGGGCAGAAATAAATGACTGTATCAGTTTCACCACAAATACAGTGTTTTGTCTAACTTTGTTTTAAATCGTTGTCAAACTGATAGGAATTTATATATATATATATATATATACACATATATATGTATGTGTATATCACATTTTCTTTTATCCATTTATCTGATAATGGACACGATGGTTGATTCCATGTTTTGGTTATAAACAGGATTTCTACAAGCATGGTGGAGCAGGTATCTCTTTGATACAATGAGTTCATTCCCAGTAGTGGGATTCCTGGATCATATGGCAAGGCTACATCTAGATTTTTAAGAAGTCTCCGGAGTGTTTTCCACAGTGGCTGCACTAATCTACACTCCCACAAACAGTGGATAAGTGTTCCCTTTCCTCCACATCCTCACCAATATTTATTGCTCCCTGTGTCTTGGATAATAGCCATTCTTACAGGGGTGAGCTTTTGATTTGCATTTCCCTGATGGCTAGTGATTTGAACATATTTTTTTCATATATTTGTTGACCATTTGTATTTCTTATTTTAAGAACTGTCTATTCATGTCCTTTGCCCATTTCTTAACTGGATCAGGTATTATTTTGTTTGAGTTTTTTGAGTTGCTGTATATTCTGATTATTAATGCTTTGTTGGATACGGAGCTAGCAAATATATTCTGCCATTCTGTTGGATGTTTTCTCACTTTGTTGATTATTTCCTTTGCTGTACAAAAGCTTCTGAGTTTGATATAATCATAATTATTTAATTTTGCTTTTATTGAAGAAGTCATCAACTAAACCAATGTCTTGAAATGTTGCCCCTACATTTTCTTCTAGAAATTTCACAGTTTCAGGACATGAAATCCAGTCTGTCAGTTAATGCTGCAAGAGAGAAGTTGGGCATCCTTGACAAGATTCAGTCACC